ATATTTGTTACTTATAACAACAACAACAACAACAACAATAATAATAATAATTATTATTATTATTATTATTATTATTTATATTATAAGAATCCATCAAAATTTTTACTTTTGAGGAGAGATTTTATACTGGTCAATTTATACATAACTTTCCATTAAGTTTCAATAAAATCTATGGACAAGTTGAATTGTTAAATACAACAAGATTTTAGAAAATTTGAATTGAATATCTCTAGATTGAATATACCTATATTTTAAAGGTTCAACAAAACTTTATAAAATTTTTAGTTGAATACACCCCTAAATCTCATATTAACACTAAAAAAACCTATTATAATTTCATATAAAAATATTATTAATTTCAATGACAAATTTACAAAAGTAAATTAGTAACTTACTAAAATTAAAAAGATATTAAAATAATTAATAAGTTATGTAATAAAAATATAGTAATATATGTATATGTATATATATGTAAATCAGAGAGTTAATATTTAAGAGTAAATAAATAAAAAAAAAACAATATAAAATGCTAAAATATATTTAGAAATTTATACCATATAGATGTTAAGTGAATCAATCAATTGATAAGCACTTATTAATTTTGCTAACTAGTTACAATTAATTGCCAAATACTTTCTTAAAAGATGTTTGACTTGTCAAACAACCCAAAACTATTAAATAAGCTAAAATTTCACAAGTTAACTAATTCTCAAACACCATCTAAATATTTAATTTGATGGAATCAATTTCGAATATTGGAAGATGTAGATTGAGATTGTTTGCATGACAAAGACTTAGAGGTGACATTGAAGGATAAATCTAAAGAAATAAATGAATCCACCAATAAGAAAAAAAAAAAAAGAAAACGAAAAAGAAAGCATGAGTGTAATTCGACCTTCTCTTTCACGAAACATTGCATTTCACCCGTTACAAATATTAAATCGATAAGAAAAGTCATAAAGATCTTGTCATATATGTATTTTTGCCACAAACAACATTCACTTGATGTGGAAACTATTCATACAAAAAATGGTAGAAACCATCGTACATTTTATTGAATTAAATGTTAGGTATTAGTAAAGATCAACGTTTTAATATCATTATCCTTTTTACAATATTGGAATACATAAATGCATCATTCGAGGAGAAAAATTTTGTGAATTAATTCGAAATTAATATAATCAATCCTATAAGTATGTATTGAAATTATATAAACTAATTTACTTTTTCATCAAGGTTCTATAATACAACTTCATCGACACAATTCATATTTATTTTTAATCTAGAGATTGATTTAGGAATTTTTGAGATCAAATTTGATCTATTCTAATTCAAACAATTATTTTTTGATCAATCATCATGATATAACAATAATAAGTATTTAAATTGTTGCGGGAAGTTGCGACATTTGATATTTAAATTTTTGTGAAAAACTGCGATAATTTCACTGGCGACAATATGGTGTTTTTGTGGTAGTGTACAATAGGTTGAAAATTTTCAATAATTAAAGAGATTTTTTTTTTTGAATTCAAAATAATTAAATCCTGAGTTCATACAAAACAAAATACCCATATTAGTAAAAAAAAATAGGGTAAGAAGAAGAGAATTACAAAAAAGTAAACTACATGAATGAAAATTAAAAGTATAAACTTTGTAGGGTATTAAGTTCGGCCGGGAGTTTACCTAGTGCGCACTTTCGGATAGCGGCTGCGGGTTCCCACGTCATAAAAAAAAAAAAAAAGTATAAACTTTGTATTAACATGCAGAATTTTGGTTTATAATAAATATAATGCCTCTATATATTTATAAAATATAAACGGTATTTTCTGAATTGACAAGCATTTCTAATCTATGAATGTTAAGGGATACAACAACTTTGATACAATAAATAAACTTAAGAAAAATATTTCATTTCCTAATCTCTAAATTTTAAAAGATTCAAATTTCTTTAAATAAAATCTTGATTAATATATCTTTCTAACAAACCCTAAATATTTTCAACAATTTTAAATTTATATATTGACAATAATTAATTCCGCAGGCACCTTCTTCCGAGTATTTCCGAAATCAATTTATTTTGGATTCCTTTTGACCTGGAAGTAGGGGGTAGAAATAGGCGAGGTCAGGCCTGACTTTGGCTAAACAGACTAGGCCTATTTTAAAAAACTAAGGATTGAGCCTGGCCTATTTAGACTGTAATAAAATTTTTTTAGTCTGGCCTATTTTAAGCCTATGTAGCCTACAAGTCTATTTAAAAGCTTATATAACAATTAATTTTTTATTTTTTAAAATTTAATATTAGTAAAAAAATATAAATGCAATTATTATTTTATGTATATATAATATTATAGTTACAACTAATCAATTTAATATTTGGTTATTATCACTAAATTAATTTTTTTTTTTAAAAAAATATAAATATATAATAATTTTATATATTAAATTAAAATTATATATATAAATAGGCTGGCCTGATAGGCCTAAAATACTTATAGTAAACCCTAAGCCTATTCTAATTAATTAAATAAGTTTTAAAATAAGCCTATATCGAATTATTTGAATAAATAGGCCAGGCCGAGCTAAGCCTTACGCAGGCCAGGCTGAAAGGCCCTTGGAAGGCCGCCTGGCCTATTTCCACCCCTACCCGGAAGGATAATTCATTTTGGCTCGGAACCTTTAAAATTTAGGATGTTCATATTGTAAAAACATGGAGTACCTTTATGAATAATCCGAGACACCCTTATTTTAAAAAATGCAGGACGTCCTTATTTCCAAAAATTCTAGGCACCCTTATTTCCAAAATTCCGGGACATCCTTCTTTTAAAAAATTTGAGCTGCCATTGTTAAGAATCAAAGACTCCTTTTATTCCTAAGAATTTGGGGCACACTTATTTCCAAGAATCCGAGACGCTCTTATTTTTAAGAATTTAGAGCACCCTTATTTTAAAAAATCCGAAGCACTATTTGACATAATATTAGCAAAATAAGAATTAAATTATATTTTTATTTTCAACACAAATTTATTTGTTAATATATTTGTAAAATTATATTTATAATTATATTTAATTTAAAAATCAGGCAGGGTTGGGCAGGGCCTAATTTTCTCAGGCTTCTTTTTAATGCTCAAACACGATTTTTCCAACTGAGTTTATATCAAAATTTTGAATCGTGTCTATTTTTGCTACCTTTATCCATCGAGTTGACCACCTTGGAATGCCTTGGCACATTAAGTGTAACGAGTCCAGACAATTAATAATAATATAGGCAAATTAATTAATTACTTACTTAATTAAAATTGTGTCCATTAATAAATTAATTTAGTCAAAATTCGAAAACAACTAGTTTTCAGCGTGTGTCCGAAATTAAAAAATTTAAAATACAATATAAATATGTGAAGTAATCATATGTGAAAATTATTATACAATATGTGTATACTTTATGATGAGATTAATATTAATATTTGCTTTGAAAATCATTACTATCTTTTTTCGGTTCTATAGATCTCATTTACTTCTTGCATGTTGATCTTTAAATGTAATTATTATATCAAAACGGATTACAACGTAAGAAAAAATTGAAAAAATATTTCATTTAATGTCTTATAATACTAATAGAAGTACATTTGTACAAAAAAATTATACAAATATAAATATATATATATAATGTTAAATATAATGACTCAAAAGTAAATATGATCTTAGAGGAAGCGAGTATTATATATTGTCAATTCATTCTATTAATTAATATTACATTAATTTTGCGGATGGAGGAAATATTTTTATAAGACAAATCAGTTGTGATATTTATTACATAAACTACTACACGACTAAGGCCAGGGTCTTTCCTGACTTTCGAAGGGCCCGGGGCGAAATAAAAGTTAGGGGCCCTTAAATATATATATATATAATATTTTTTACTTATAATAAAATATAAATTAATTGTTTTTTTCTAGCATAAATTTTAAAAATTGCGTAAGATTCCCTTATATGTTAACAAATTCTATATGAAACTCCTCTGTAAAAAAAATATAGATGAAAAGTCATTTTCTCAACGCCAAAAAAATATAAAAATGAGTTTAATGAAACGTTTTTTAAAATATAAGGGGGTTCATGCCATTTTTAATGTATATAGAGGATTTACACTAAGTTTCGAAATCATAAAGACGTTATTGATAATTTTGCCTAATAATAATAATAATAATAATTTTATCTAATATTTATTATATTTTTAGTGCAAAAAAATAATTAAAAAAAATAAAAACCCCTAATATATATAAATAATCTACTCCGATTTTTTTACCTATAATAGAATATAAATTATTAAATAAAATAATTTTTTTAGAAATTTTAGATAAAATATCAATAATAGTATTAATATTAACAATCTTAAAACAAATATTAGGGGCCCATAAATATGTATAAACAATATATTTTTTTTTATCTATAATAAAATATAAATAATTAAATAAAATAAATTTTCTAATATTTTTATATACAAAATATCAATAATACTATTAATATTAACTTTGTCTAATTCTTTTTAATACATAAAAAAATATTTCTAAATTTCGAAGATAGAACTTAATCATCAAACCATACTCTTGTACCAATGCACTAATGTCAAATAATATTTATATATAACTAATTTATATATAACATAAATAAATAATGAGTCCCAATTTAAATTGGGCCCTGGGCGATCGCCAGTTTCGGGACAGGGATGGCCCTGTTAAGGGCCATGCTGAACTTCATGATTAACCTCCGAAATTAGTTCCAAGCACACCATGACCTGTCGGTTTGAGTATTGGATGTGCTTTGTGCAACCCAATTTTACAAATTTACAGATTCATACAAAGACCTATTTTGAAGAAACAGACATTTCTTTCTTAATTAAGGAATAGAAGAAGAAAAATAAGACAAGGCATTATGGATTAATAATTATCCCTATATAGTGTTCTATCATCCCTCCCATCTCTCTCTATAAATACCCTCCTTCTGCTCTCTAAGATTTTGTAAAAAGACAGAAGAAAAGAGAGAGAGTGACAAGCAGCAACATAAGAAGAAAATGGCGGCGAAAAATGCTTCAGCACAAGGATTTAGTAAAGAAGAAAAAGAAAACATGGCAGTATGGCTTGTTGGTCCTAGAACCCTCCAAATTCAGCCTTACAACCTTCCCTCTCTTGGTAATAATTAATCATTCATATATATACTCTATGTTTTTTCAATTCATCAATTTAATTTTATACATGTATGTGTTGATTCGAATGAATTAGGGCCTGAAGATGCAAGAATCAGAATCAAAGCTGTAGGGATTTGTGGAACTGATGTTCACTTCTTCAAGGTGATATATACATATATATATATATGTGGCTAATTTATACTCCCTCTGTCAGCAAAAATTAGAATATTTGGATCTAGTACGGGGATTAAGAAAAATGAATATTTTATTAAAAAAGTGATAAAAGTAAAAAGATAGTTGGAAATATTTTTAAAAGTAAATTAGAAATTCAAAAAATGGGGAGAGAGAACGTAATAAAAATAGTGGTATTTATTGTAAATAAGTGTTGAATGATGGATAATAATTAAACGTTGATTTGTTCACTCTGCCAAAATTAATAACGAGGTAAATTTAGCGGACATATTAAAGTGGAAAGTGAAAGTAAATTTGACGGACGGAGAGAGTATTTACTGTTTGAATTTGAGCACAATGAGATAGATGTTGCCATTGATTTTCAGGAGTTGAAAATGGGCAATTACATAGTAAAAAAGCCAATAGTCCCCGGCCATGAGTGCGCCGGAATAGTCGAGGAAGTAGGGGCCGGCGTCAAGCACCTGTCGCCGGGCGACCGTGTGGCCATCGAGCCGTCAATAGGGTGCTGGCAGTGCCACACCTGCCGCCAGGGAAGGTACAACATCTGCCCCGAGCTGAAGTTCTTTTCCCTGCCCCCGGTCAACGGCGCCCTCGCCAACTATGTCGTCCATCCCGCCAAAAATTGTTTCAAACTCTCCGACACATTGACCTTTGAGGAAGGTGCACTGTGTGAGCCCCTCAGCTGTGCAATACACGCTTGCCGACGCGCCAACATAAGCGTCGAGACCAATGTATTGGTAGTTGGGGCTGGCCCGATCGGGCTCCTCACAATGCTTGCGGCTCGGGCTTTCGGATCCCCAAGAATCTTGGTCCTCGACATAGAGGATTCCCACTTGGAAGTGGCTAAGAAGCTCGGGGCCGATGGCGTTATCAAGGTTTCGATAAATATTGATGTAAGTAATTTTTTTTTTTTGATAAAATTGTCCGTATAATTTTATTTTATAATATAGTACTGTGCTGGCTAGTCCTAATAAGTATTTCTATTGTCCATCAAATTTACTTTTACTTTTAATTTTGACAACTCAAATATTCAATATTTAATTATTATCCCAAATTCAATATTTATTTATCATAATTATCATTATATTTATTACATTTTTTTTTCATTATTTTTAATTACTAACTAAATTTTCAAAGATAATTTCATTAATTTTTTTTTTCAATAAAATATTTAATTTTCTTACTTTCTAAACTGTGTCTCGAGTGGAGCTAATTTTTGCCGACAGAGAGAGTATATGGATAACTATTTCTTTACCCATGACTATAATTAAATTAATGGGTAATTCATACCATACTTTAAATGGCATTTTGTGCTGATATCAATTCTGACATGTGTTGTATAATATATGTTATGGACTATTATCATATGCCGTAAATTTATATCTCATACGTTGATTAAATTGCTAAATTGTCATTTAGGAGGTGGAAAAAGAAGTAGAGAAAATTAAGGTTGCCATGGATGGAAAGATCGACGTAAGTTTCGATTGTGTGGGGCTTAGCAAGACGATGTTGACATCACTACAAGCCACGTCATCAGGTGGAAAGGTTTGCCTTATCGGATTAGGGCACGCCAATATGTCTGCACCTTTAACCGGCAATGTGGCCGCAAGGTATGTACATTTCAATGCGGAAGGTTAGGGTGCCGAATTTGGAAAATCAGTACCATGCTGATTCTCCAAATTACTACACATAAAATATAGAAACAACACACGCCTTTATTATATACAACATGCACTGTTTGTAATAAAAGCATGTGCTGTTAGTTCATAATTATAGCGTGTATGAAAATATGTGATGTGCTAAACTCAAGTATTGTATGTGCTGTGTGAGACTATATCATGTGTTGTTAGATCACGTGGTGTATTTGTATTACATTGACGTATACTGTGTGTTGTTTATTACTGTTTTATAGCACACAGTGTGCTATTCAGTGTCGTAGCACTATAAAAAAATAATATATTTGTAATGAAATTCTGTCCCAAAAGTTCACGTTGCTAGCGTAATTCCATTCCTAATTCCGTCTCTAATGTCATTAGTAACGGAAAAAGTAGATTTAGAGACAAAAAAATTTTGTTACAAAAATGATTTTTTCTTGTAGTGTTGCTGCCGTTCATTTCAATATTCATTTCAATATATATATATATACATATAAAGAAATATAAATTTACTTTGTTACGCGCACAAATATATATATATATGTAATGTAAGTATAATTATATTTTCAGGGAGGTGGATCTTGTGGGAACATTCTGCTACACGAACACGTGGCCATTGGCGATCGAGCTTATAAGGAGCGGGAAGATAGACGTGAAGGCGTTGATCACACACAGATTTGGGTTCTCCCAAAAGGAGGCTCAAGAAGCTTTCGAGACCAGTGCAGACGATGGCAATGCAATCAAGGTCATGTTCAATCTCTAACATGAAACCAGATTAAATGACAAACCAGGTGGCTTCTCTCCCCTCTTCAATAAAACTGCTGTTGTATCAATAAACTTTTTATATACACTGCCTTTTTGGACTCCTAATATATACTTCATTGTGTCACAATTTCTACATCAAATAAGATCTAAGCATAATACCTTATGTGGTTTAAATTTCATGATCTGTTTTTATTTAAATTATCAGAGTTTTATAAGACAAATTAAATGCCAAATTTTAAGCTACATTATGTATAGCAAAATTTCTAAGTCATTATTTTATTATTCTTACTATTTTAAGAAGTTATGTGGTCCAGAATTATGCTCGATCTCAATTTCATTGTGTATCTCAATTTTTAACTAAGGAAATGGTTTCAAAAAATATTGATCTTACATCATTCTTTTGAAAATCTTGACAAAATAATTTTATTTTACAACACAGTACTGTCACGAGTTCACTGTCACACTACCAACCCATCCTTATGGAATCATGCACCAACATTAATTGATCGGAGTTAACATGGACTAATTACGCATTCTTCAAATTTTGATTGCCAACATGGATATTTATATATAGATATACACACACAAAAAGAAAATAATAATATTGTGAGTGTTGGATTTGACCAAAAAATAAGTTAAAATAACCCAAGGTTGCGTGATGGGCTTTGGAGGAGTATAACCCACCAGACTAAAGAATCTATTTGAGAAGATAGCCTATGAGCCAAAAAAAAACATATTAAGTACAAAAATAACAGAATTTCTATTTAACGGATATTAATGTGAGAAGTTATAAAAATCAATAAATGAGCTAATCAATGGAAATCAATGGAGTCCTTTGGGTGAAAATAAAGCGGTTACTATGCTTAAATTAGCATAATGCTGTCAGCATATATATATATATATATATATATACTAGAGCTCTCGGAACGGCGTTAGGGGGTGTCAATTCGTGTTTTCGGGGTCGAGTTCGTGTCCGGTTGAGTCATGGGAGTGACAAAAAAACTGTCAACTCAAACCCGACTCGAACCCGAAATTTGACCTAAAACCTTAAACCCGAACACGACGCGAAATTTTTTGAGTTGGGTTCAGATCAACCTGATTTAGTTTCAGGTCACCAGAAACCCGAACGAACCCGATACGAAACAAACTCAAAAACCTGAAAAATTTTAAAATTACCTAAAAAGTTCAATAAAAATTACAAATCTACCTTAAAAAAATTTAATAAAAATAGTATCAAAACGACATCAATATAAATATAAATTAAATAAACATGAACATAATACATAAATAACATATCAATAGTAGCCAAACATATAAACATAAACAATTTAACATAAATTCAGGCCAAAACAACGACGTAAAAAAAACTGCATCAACAACATTAACAATTCATCAACATAAACACAAAGAAGCAACAAATATATCAATTCATCAATAACATTCACTTCATTGAGATCCCGATTACTATGCATTTCAGCAATAACAACAGTAATTTCAACGGTTTCTACAACTGCAATTTTTTTCAGCATGAACAAATTATTACATTACTGTTTTGTTATATCAATTAGTACAATAAGATAAACTTAAAAGAAATAATTACTTACATAATCCTCGAAAGAAGACATCTCTATGGATTCAATTTGTACTCCATACAATGTCATTCGAAGACATCTCCATAATATTATGAGTGAAATCATCCAATGCAACCCCATTATTTCCTATATATAAAATAAAATTAAATAATAAATTTAAATATAAATTATATAAAATTAAATACTATATATTTATAATAAATAACCTTTTGTTCCAAATAATCAATCTTTGCAGCAAATCAATACTTCAATTGCACCCGGTTTCATTACACTGCGATATTGATCAAGTATTCTTCCACCGGTGCTAAATGCCGACTCTGAAGCAACAGTAGAAATCGGTACATTCAATATATCTCGTGCTATCTTCGCCAGTTCAGGATATCTACAACCATGAACTTTCCAATAGTCCAAAACATCAATGAAATGATATGAATTTATTCTTGGTTCCTCCAAATACAACTGCAATTCATTCTTTTGCTCACTATTTTGGAGGATCGAAAGGTCGAAAGAACAGAATTTCTGTAATTATAAATAATATCAAATACATTAATATTTTTAAATATACAATTTTATTATGCAATAATTAAATATAAAAATAAATTAAAAACTCAATAAAAATACCTTTAAAATATCCATAAGATCGTTTTTCTTTGCTGCATCAATATTTTCCTCAAGAGTTAAAGTTCCTCTAAATGTAGAAGCCCTAGTTTTGCTAGAAAAACTCATGTACTCATCAAATATAGAGAACAATTTAGACTTCACGTCTTCAAATTTTGTTTTGTCTAGTCCATAAAGTTTAGAATAGGAGAACTCCACAAAATTCAACTTGAATCTAAGATAAAAAACTACTGCAATAGCTAATAAAGTACTGTACTAACTCCAATATTTGTTAAATTTCTGAAACATCTGAGACGCCATTGTCTTCAAGAATTCATCATCACTACACAACCCTTGATACAGTGTGACCTCAATCTTAAAAACCATAGGAAAGTACAAGTTTGCAATAGGATACTTCACCCCATAAAATAGATTTGATGCAACATAAAAAACCTCTGAAAATGAACATAATTTTTCAATCCTTGCCCACTCATCGGATGTTGGACAATACTTGAAATTAGAATCACTTAACCTCAAGTGATTTAAGACAAACTTATAATACAAGGCAAATGAAAGCATCAAATATGTAGAATTCCACCTAGTCGGCACATCTTGTCGTAATGCAGTCCTAGAGTCAAGTGAACATTGATTAAAAGATTCTAAGAACTTTTGCTTCTGTACTTGACTCCCTTTCACATATTTGACATATTCACGAATCTTTTCAATTGATTCATCAACATTCTTTAACCCCTCTTGCACAATAAGGTTGATAATATGACAACAACAATGAACATGCAAAAACTTACCACGAAATATAAGTTTGCACTTCAAAGAAAGCCTGTCCCAAAAAATTTCAGCAAATACATCATTGGCTGATGCGCTATCTAGTGTAATAGTGAACACTTTTTTATCAATACCCTAAGTAGCCAACAAACCAGAAATTTTATCACATAAAACAATGCTTGAATGAGGTGGTGGCATATAAGAAAAATTGATTATTTTCTTTTGCAGCACCCAATTATCGTAAATATAATGTGCTGTCAAGCAAAGATAACCATCTGTGGCAATAGAAGTCCACAAATCATATGTAAAACAAATTCTACTAGAGCATGCACGCATTTGTTCACCAAGTCTAATTGCTTCAGTCTTATGCATCTTAATGATATCGGCTCTAGCAGTATTCATAGATATGTGATTGACTTGTGGCTCCAAATAAGTGAAAAGAGATCGAAATACTTCATATTCCACAAACTGAAAAGGCAACTCATGCTTGATAATTTCTAAGACAAGAAGCTCTCTAAACCGTTCTTGATCAAATTTTCGTGTCCTCACACCAAAACTATTATTACCACAATCTAATAAAGCTTGACCAATATCTTTAGATAATATCCTTGGACATTTATCTATTTGACGTTGTAAGTTACCTGTACCATTTCTTGAATCAGCCCCCAATAAATGACCGCATGCTTTGCACTTGCATTTCAATGGTTTGCCCTCCTCTTGTGGCAACAACTCAAAATGTTCCCATACTTTAGACTTTAATCTTCTTTTACATTTGGAATCCGATGTTGCTTCCAATTTCTTTCGATCGGTCTGTTGACTTGTAGAGTTAGATCCAAAAAAAGTGGCTTGGGGATCCATACTGACTTCATCCTTATCATCCAAAATCTCAAGATCTTCGTTTGAGTTTATAATGACCTACAATACATAAACAAATTTTTATTATTAGTTATAATATACATATCCAGAGTATGCAAACACCAAATTAAAAAATAACAGTACTATAAAAATATGAGGAAGAAGAGATTTTATTATATATATATAAAAAAATACAACTAAAACAGAAAAAACATAATTTTAGATAATATTCCATCTAATGTTCATTATATTTTATAAATAATTTTTTATTACGGAAAAACTCAAGAAAATTTTTAAAACTAAATTGCAAATCGTTCATATATTCAATTTTTGTCTAAAACATTCCAAAATATTTAAACTGAACTATAAATAAATTATATTTTGAAGGTGGAAAAGAAAAGATTAATTAAAAGATAAAATAGATGAGAAGATATAAAAATTTACCGGAAGAGATGAACCGTTGGAACAAATAGTTTTTCAGATTTAATTACTCCAAATGAATTCTGGCGCCGTATGAACCTTGAGATAAGAATAATGTTTTCAAATTAAAATTTCAATTCGACTGGAGTTCGCGCGGTGCTGCGGCAGGGCGGCTTCTTCTTGATAGGGTTTTTTCTTTGGGTGGATGGTAGCCGTAGGGTGTCTGTATTTTTCTTTCTGTTCTTTCTTAATTCGTGTGTAGAGTTTTGTTTTTCTTTCTATTTTTTATATTTTATTTATTTATTTTTTAATATTATTTTTTTATTTAATATAACATAAATATATAAATTAAAAACAAAAAACAAAAAAATCAGGTCAACCTGAAACCCGAAACTCGAAATCTGACCTGATTTTTTTTCTTTTTTTTTTTTTTTTTCGGGTTCTGAACACGACACAAATTCTTTTTGTTTCGGGTTCGGGTCAACCCGATTTTTTTCAAACCCGAAATGCCCAAACCCGAACCTAAAAATTTTCAGGTCGAACGGGTTCGGTTTTTCGGATCGGGTTGAATTTTGATACCCCTAAACGGCGCTACGCTGTGCGAATTCTTTGTAATATAACTTGTGACATATTAACATCATATCACTTAGTCTAAATAATTTTTATAATAAATGCAAATATGATGAAAATAAATTATAAGAATGTTACTTGATTACAATATCGGTAGTAATATTTGATTTTATTCGTGGTTCAATGCTATTTTTCATTAGAATATAAGCCTTCTGTTGAAATGTGACTTGGATTTAGCAATCTACCCGACCCGAAACCAAAGCGAAAAGACTGTTTCAATTGGCAGGGTTCCTTTTGGACCCAACCTAATTAATAACAAATGGGAGGATGTTTTGGGGGTTCTTATAAATAGATAGCTATGGTTGCTAGCTGTTGGACAATGATTGTAACTTTCTAAATCAGTATAATAAAATCTTTTCCGTTCTTGCCCGTAGACGTAGGTTGACACACCGTGAGCGAACCACGTAAAACCTCTGTGTTCTTTATTTGTTTTCTTTCTCGTTTTCTCATATCAAGTGGTATATGAGCCATATCTGATTGATTGAAGATATCCTCGTATAAGTTTGATCTGAAGAAGTTCAATGGGTTGAATGATTTCATGCTTTGGAAGGTCAAGATGATGGCACTTCTGGTTCAACAAGGATGTGCTGCTGCGTTGGAGGGAGAAGTCAAGCTTTCTAAAGACACGAAAGAGGAGGTGAAGAAGGAGATTTTGGCAAAGGCTCATTCTGTGATCTTGCTATCAGTTACTGATGAGATGTTACGGGAGGTTGTAGATCAGATGACGGCTTCTGGGCTATGGGATAAACTGTGTGACTAGAACAACTCTATCACAAACAGACTATATAAGAAGCAACGAATTTACACCATCCGGATGTCCGAAAGTACTCAGGTAAAGGATCATCTTGATACCTTTAACCATATTATTCTTTATCTTCAAGGGGTTGAGGTTAAAATATATGATGAAGATCAAGCCCTAGTTTTACTGTATTCACTACCTGGTTCATATGAGAATTTTGTAGATACTATGCTATATGGTAGAACTACAATTTCTGTTAATGAGGTGAAAGATGACCTTATGTCCAAAGAATTGAAAAGAAGGGTTTCTCTGGAAGAGGGTTCTGGTTCATGTATGTTTGTAGGTAAGGAAAGACCACATGAGATGGGTAATGGGAATAGAAGATCGCGTTCAAAATCAAAATCCTTTAGCAAAGTTAACTGTTATCTTTGCAAGGAGAAGGGACACATTAAAAAGGAATGTCCACATAAGAAGAGAAATACAAACATTGAGTCTAGTAATAGTGGCAGTGCTGCTGTGGTACAAGACAGTTCTGATGATAGGTACCTTGGTGAAGTTCTAACAGTGTGTAGTGGTAGTACTGCTAATAACTGGATTATGGATACTAGTGCTTCTCACCATATGATGTTCTCTCGTGATCTAATTACTTCTTTCAAGGAGTGGAATGGAACAGTGAAGTTAGGTGATGATGGGGTTCTAGCTATAAATGGGAGCGGTATAGTGCAGATAAAATTGCATGAGGGTATTGTCAAGAAATTTGACTGCCGATATGTTCCTAAACTCAGAAAAAATTTGATTTGTCTTGGAACCATAGCCAAAAATAGTTTAAAATATCATGGTGAATGTGAGTGGGTGAACATCCTGAAAAATGCTCTAGTGATGATGAAGGCAAAACTGCAGCATAAAATTTATTTTCTACAGGGCAGTTCAGTGATGAGAACAGCGGCGGTATCCCAGTCCTTGGATAAACATAATGACAGGACAAATTTGTGGCACCGTCGATTAGGTCATATGAGTGAGCAGGGGTTATCTGTGCTAAGCAAGTAGGGTTTATTTGGTGGAGATGTGACAGGTAAAATTCAGTTTTGTGAGGCTTGTGTAAAAGGGAAGCAATGCAAGGTGAGGTTTAGTACCAGTCATCACACTTCAAGAGAAATTATGGAGTATGTTCATTCAGATTTATGGGGTCCCTCTCCGGTGAAATCATAGGGCGGTTGTTCTTACTTTGTCACTTTCATAAATGATTATTCAAGAAAAGTCTGGTTGTACTTTCTGAAGACTAAAGATGAGGTGTTTGAGAAGTTCAAGGAGTGGAAGACCATAGTTGAAAAACGGACGGGTAATCAGGTAAAGACTCTAAGAACTGATAATGGGTTGGAGTTCTGCAATGCTCCATTTGATGATTTCTGCAAGAAAGAAGGTATAGTGAGGCACCGCACTGTACGGCACACACCACAACAAAATGGGGTTGCAGAACGTATGAACCAAACCCTCATGGTGCGTGCTAGGTGTATGCGCATATTTGCTAGTTTATCTAAGCAATTCTCGGCTGAAGCAGTTAACACTGCTAGCTATCTGGTTAATAGATCTCTATCAACTGCAATTGACTTAAAGACTCCTCAAGAGGTATGGTCCGGTCAAAGATGGTCCGGTAAATCCTTTGATTACTCTAATCTAAGAATATTTGGATGCCTTGCATACGCTCATGTGAATGATGGTAAGCTGGAGCCGAGGACGGTAAAATGCATATTTATAGGGTATGCAACACGAGTCAAAGGTTATCGACTGTGGTGTACAGAAGATAAAAATCCTGGTAAATTTCTTATTAGCAAATATGTAACCTTTGATGAATCTTCTATGCTTGATCAGAGTAGAGGTTGTGAAAGTATTTCAGGTACAAAATATTGTGGTGTTGACCAGAAGGTGGAGTTAGAGACTCTTGACAGAGTTGTGTTAGAGGAAGAACAACATGATAATACTATTAATCAATCTGATCAACCAGATTAGTCAAAACCCTAAGGGAAATTGGTTGAGGAGGAAGCTGATGACACTAGTACTGGAATTGAAGATTCCATAGCAGCTAGACAGGGAAAGAGAAATATTCAGAAACCAGCTAGTTTTACAGAATGTGTCAATACATGTGACATAGATTTTGTGGCTTATGCATTGGCTGTTGGTGATGATCTTGGCTCTGATGAGCCAAAAATATATAAAGAAGTTGTGGTGAGTAAATATGCAGAAACCTGGATTATAACAATGAATAAAAAAATGCAGTATCTTGAAAAGAACAAGACTTGGGATCTCGTTGCAGTACCAAAAAGGGTGAAGCCAGTAGGATGCAAACGAGTCTTTAAAAGAAATGAGAGAATTCCTGGTGTTGAGGCTGCTAGGTTCAAGGCGATAGTGATGGCAAAAGAGTTATCACAGAAGGAAGGAATCGATTACTATGAAGTCTTTTCTCCTGTGGTCAAACACAAAACCATCCGGGCTCTTTTGGCAATGGTGGGTGCTTTTGATCTGGAGCTGGAGCAGCTTGATGTAAAAACGGCTTTCCTTCACCCACAAAATACAAAATCAACACAGACACAAGTAAAATGTGAAAAATACAAAAGAACCGGCCCGGGACCCTTAACCTAAGCCGAAAACAACCCATGAACAAAAAGAAGAAGAAGAAGAAGGCATATAAAAAACAATAGTCAAAAGAAAACACCACACTAAAAAACAAAAAGCAGACATGAAGCGAAACCCTTTGCAATTTGCTTCAACACGCAGAAGAAAGGATCGAGTCAAAGCTGCAAAAAACATGATAGAAAGGTACAATCAGACGATCGGAAGGTCGCAGGCAAGAAGCAGTCTATCGAATTGAAGTAAAGAAGGCAAGAGAGAGGAGTTTGTAGAGAGGGGAAAGATTAAAGTATGTATATGTCGATGTATGAGTGGCTGCTGCTCGTCCTTCCTCTCTCTATGCATATATATATATATATATCTAGGTTTGGGTAGATTGAATGGTCAGAGTCAAAATCCTAATTAGACTGTTCACAACAGTACAGAAGATAGACACGGGTCAAGAACCGGTTTGCAAGTTGCTGGTGCGGGGTCATGGGTTGCAGGTTAGGGCCAAGGTTCAATTAAACCATATAATTAATTTTGTTTGTGTTTGGTGTTGGATACTTAATATATTGGTCTTAATATTTGTTATTAAAAATATAAGAACGGATCGAAGATTTTACTATGAAATCAATAAAAATTTTGACTAGATTTGGTTAGGCTCAGCTCCAAACCAAACTCGGAACACAAATCGACATAAAAATCACACCTAACTAGCGAATACACATAAGAACCGGCCCAAAACATATGACACACACAAAAATGAACCTCCACAGCACATATAAGGTGAAACAGAACAGATACAAACGCCTACAAGTTGAATGAGCCCCTTGTGGCTACGAACAACAACTAACATAGAAGGGGGAGGGGGAATACACCACAGGAACTCCATAAGTTACAAGAGAAAAGACACCGTCAAGCACCGTCGTGAACCGCCGGGAAAGGTCGCCGAAGAAGATGGACAGAGAGGTCGAGAGAGAAGCTAGAGAGGGCGAGTTTAGAGTGAGAGGAAGTGATTGTATCAAATGACGGCTGCCCATCTCACCCTCCATATGTATATCTAGGTTAAAAAGAGATCCATGGGTCAACATTAAAACGCCAAATCAGACGGTCAGCGCAGCGTCTAAGAAAGACTTAGATCCTCAGGGGGTCGCGGGTAAGTCGGTAGTTTTGGGTCAAGCACAAGGTCAGCCAGATCAGGGTAAGTCGGTAGTTTTTGGTCAAGCACAAGGTCGGTAGATCAGGGTAAGTCAATAGCTTTGGGTCAAGCACAAGGTTGGCCAGAGAGTCGCGGGTTGCAGGTCAGCTCATGGGTAAGTGAGATCGGTTCTGGGAGGCAGGTCACGGGGCGTAGATGTGGGTTGTGGGTCAAGGCTATGGTTCTAATGGGCTGCATAATTGGGTGTGTGTGTCTTATTTGGGATGTATCCAATTAGACTAAAAAATCTAACAAATACTCCACCTGATTTCTTTCGTCCAAGTGATTGGGGTATATCATTGCCCATAGATTTGAATTACTTACCTGCACAAAGAAAAACATTAAACCAAGTTCGTCTAAGATACTTTAATTTAGTCTACTATCTACACATATGTAAAACACAACTAATCAAATGTATCAAAATATATAACTTTGAAGCAAAATACAACTTTATTAATTTTCCATGATATTGTATCTATGACAACATAAATATATTCAAATCCAAACATTGACAGAACTACATTACATTTTAAATGTATCATACAACCAAAATATATAACACACAATATACAAACAAAACAGTAGCAAGCTTCATAAGTTTTATATCATTCACAACCAATGATAACATAACACAAATGAGCCAATAACAAAACCTAGGAATTGATTTCAAACAATTATTACCGACTAATAAGTTATTATTTTCACTTAGCACCAAACATTGAGACTTATATTCAAGATTTACTATTTTTCTAACAAACATAGGATAAACTACATAAAAGCTCTCAAATATATCACATGCCAAAGAAGATGAATCAAAATTACCATAGAGAACACTTTAGGACTATTCCCAACATCATCTCTAACCAATAGATAATTTTCAATCTCATTACTATGAATAGAAACAGTTCCAATATTGCTTTTAATTTCTGAAGCTGTATTTTTAGATTTACTCACAATAAACTACCCAACAATAAATATGATGTGAAAATCACCAACAAAAATATCAGTTTCTCTAGTTTCCTCATTATCGACCAGACAATTTACGTCAGAGATTAGAACATTTTTGTTCACAAAATTAGTGTGTTGCTCAACAACAGTTTTCATACACATCAAAGAATCAGAAACAATATCAACATCAACTTAAACATCACAATGCATAATTTCTGATTCACAACTAGTATTATCAACATGTATCACAAAAATGCACATTTATATAATCAGCAACAATTTTCTGATTTTCAGAATGGAAAATAAAAGAAAGAATTATCAATTTCTTTCTCTCTAATCT